TTCTGGATCCAGAGCACCTGCTGGTATAACCTCGGTTCCCTAACCATGTTCCAAGGTCATCTGGGACATCACAGCACACTCACAGAGGTGCCACAAGATAGTTAACCTTTCCAGGGAGACACAGTGATACTTGTCATATGGGGAACCCTGCATACACTACCAGCCTGATGGAGCTCACCGTTTTATACTAGGTTGTACCTCATTTCTTACAACAGCATTATCTTTGTGAAGTTGGGTTTGGGGCAGTTGCTAAAATAAAAATCAAGTACCACACAAAAATGAACAGAGAACACAAAATGAAAGTGGTGGTGGCCAAATCCAATGGCAGACACACATGCCATTAGTAAGAAATTATAATTATTTAAGAATGTAATTAAAATATCACATTTCCACCCTAGCTGGTTTGGCTCAGTGGATAGAGTGTCAGCCTGTAGTCTTAAAGGTCCCAGGTTCAATTCTAGTCAAAGGCACATGCCCAGGTTGCAGGCTCAGTCCCCAGTGGGGGGCATGCAGGAGTCAGCCAATCAATGATTCTCTCATCATTGATGTTTCTATCTTTCTCTCTTCCTCGCCTTTCCTCTTTGAAATCAATAAAAATATATTTTAAAAAAATATCACATTCCTTTTTTAATTTAAATTTTTATCTAATGGCTAGAAAGTTGTTAGTATACAAGAATATTTTAAGTTGAATCTAACTACTTAATAAACAAGACTAGTAGGATTTTTTTGTGGGGTGGGGAGTAGATGAGAGCCCTATAACAAAATTACTGAGACACTAAGGGTGCCATAAACCAAGAAAATTTGGGAACTTCTGCTCTAGAGAGTTAATCAATCTGAACATCACTGTTCCCATCTGCAAAATGCAGGAGTTGCATTAAATTCTATTTAAGATATCTTTTTATTTTAATGTTTTAAAAATCTGTAGTTCTATATCACTAGAAGTGGTTCCTAAGTATAATATATGATAAATGTGGTATGTTAACTATCATTTCTGAAATCAGAGAGAGGTAAGAAGAAATGCTAAGATCCCCAAGTTGTCTCTGAAATAAGAATCTGTAGGACTCCAAAGGGAAAAGAAGGGACCACAGACAGAGATCCATGATGTTTTAAGCAGATAAGGACCATGATTTTTAAATCAGTTCAAAAACCCATGTCAACACGGATGGCTCTTGCATAAAATAAAAGCACACGGTATTCACTGTAGAACTCTCTACCTTTGGAAGATGGGTTACTAAAAAAAAAACAACAAAAACAAAAACAAAAAAAACCTGTGTTGGAAGGCTTCCATGCATAGTATTCAAAATGTCCATTGGACTTGGACATAAAAATATTCATCTTAAAGTCTGGTTCAAACCCTTACAAAAATAAAATAAAAAAATAAAAGTATTCATCTTTATTTTTATTAACATTTAGCTGAAATTTAGCATTTTTTCAGCTATGAATGTAATTAACAAACCCAAGGAGTATTAGCATTAACCTGGGACTTTGTCACCAATTCAAATAATCCGTATTTTCATATCACAGTACAGTTGTTGAAAATATTTCAAAATATCACTTATACTTACAACCACTTTGAAATTGCATTAGATTTTAGATCTGCCACAGATCTTGTTTCTTAGTACATTATTGAGGTAAATTACTACTATATCACAAAATATTTGAAAATATTTTGATATTTGCCTTTCAATGAGTTGCTTCCTTAGTAATCTTAAATATTAGTTTAATTTGTCATTGTGGAGAAGTTAGAACATACATAAGTGTAGGTTCAGTGATAAATAGAATCTCACATACTCATCATCCAACTATAGCACCACATTCTTTTAATGCTGCATTATCTTATAGCAAACTCTAGACATTATATAATTCCATCTGTAAATATTTTACTTCTAAATATAAGTTCTTTTTCTTGAAGTACAGTCATACCATTCTCATACTTAAAAAAATTAAAAGTTCATTATATATCATCAAACATCCCAACAGTGTTCAAATTTTCAAGTATCCAAAAGTGTTAGCATTTTTTAGCTTTTTTAAAAAAAATGAGAATTCAAATATGTTCATACTTTCGATTGGTTGATATGTCTTATAAGTCTCTTAATTTATAGACTTTGCCTTCATTTCTTCTCTTTTCTTGCAATTTATCTCTTGAAATAAAAAGAAATCCTGTAGCATTTCCCACAGTCTAGGTTGTGGATCTCTCCCCTGTGGTGTAGTTTATCATGTTCCTCTTTCCTCTGTGTCTCCTGTAAACTGAGAGGGTTGATGACATCAGATTTTGGGGGGACAGAATAGGAGGTGAGATTAATTCTAGTTGTCAATGGTTAGATGCCATTGATTTTCAGAGTTTAGACCCATTAGTTAATTAGAGGTTACAAAATAGATTCTTTTAATTCTGTCATTCCTTATAATCTATCATCTGTATTGTTTCTACAAGGAAAAATATGTTTCATCAACTATGTGCTTACCCAGTGCAAAATTAGTCAGAATATACATACTTATTTTTTGTTCCTTTTTATTTAGCAATTTTTCAAATAATGAGTTGGTTCCTTTTATGCATTTTATTTGACACATTTTAAAATCTATTTTAAATATATTTTTATTGATTTTAGAGAGGAAGGGAGAGGGAGAGAGAGATGGAAACATCAATGTTTAGAGAGAATCATTGATTAGCTGCTTCCTGCATGCCCCACACTGAGGATCAAGTCCCCGACCCAGGCATATGCCCTGACTGGGAATCGAACTGTGACCTCCTGATTCATAGGTCAACACTCAACCACTAAGCCATGACAGCTGGGCTTATTTTACACATTTAAAAACATTATCCCTGAAATGGGGTTCATGGGCTTCACCAGACTGTCAAATGGGTTAACGTCACAAAATAGTTAAGAACTCTTACTTTTGTCAGGCCAGTGTGGCTCAGTGGTTGAGTGTCAACTGTGAACCAGGGTCCGACTTCCCGTTAGAGCACATGCACCAATTGCAGGTTCCATTCTCAGTAGGGAGCATGCGGAAAGCAGCTGATCAATGATTCTCTCACATCATTGATGTTTCTCTTCCTCTCTCTTCCTCTTTCTGAAATCAATAAAAAACATACTTTAAAAACCCCCAAAACATCTACTGTAGACTATTCCAAAAGATGCAGAGGTTCATGTGAGCACTTCCCCAGAGTTATTCCAACCATTTCTGTAGCCAATTTCCTCATCTCCCACAGCACTTAATTTTCATTGCATGCATTTTGGTGCTTGATGAAATGCCACCTTATGTTGTACTGTGAGAGATACGTGCATGGAAATCCTATAGTAATAGCTGTGGCATAGAGAGAGCACTAATTTGAAGTCAGATGGTCTAATTCAAACATTGACCATGCTACTTACTAGTTGTACAAACAAAGGCAAAGTCTTTGCTTTTTTGAGCTTCAGTTTCTTCATAGGGAAAACGATTCCTAACTTGAAGAATTGTTCTTAAAACTAAAAGGAGAAACATTCTTAAAAGATTGAAGCATTATTGGTCCTCAACAAATATTTGTTAAATCTGATGGTTTCCCAAAAGCAGAGGACTTGTTCATTAGATCTTTTGTGCTGATCATAGCAGTTAAAGAAATTTAAAAAGTCCTTATTGTACCCATGGTGTAGGGCCCTGTCATCACACATTCCCACCCTTTTCAACTCTCTCTCTCTTTTCTTTTCTCCCTCCCTCTTGTTTCTTTCTCTTCCTCTTTTTCCCCTTTCCTCCCCCTCCTCCTCTTCTTCCTTTTCCTCCTCCTCCTTCTCTTTTCTCTTCTGCAGTAACCAGCTCTGGCCTGACAGTTCCAGAGTCTGTCACTAGAACAGGTGTACAAATACTGGCACACACAGCCGTGACAATGGCAGCAACCATGTACATAACCCTCACTATTGGGCCTGAAGTGATTCTGTGCACATACAGCCTAAGTCCAAAGGTCATGCTCTTAGCAGCCCTATACACTGCCCCTCACACTGAGGTCTGAGCATTTCTGGACTTTCTCTCAGTCTTAGAGGGCATTTTCCTGACAGGTATTGCAGTCCCCACAAGAACAGTCCCAGGCCTTCAGAAATCAGCTCAAATATGAGCTCCTTTGTTGATCCCATTTATGGCAAGCAAAAGTGAAACATGATCACTTTACAGAATAAAAGACTGGAAAGAGCTTCTGATTTCAGAAGCACAAGTTTTTACAATGGATTTGTATGCATAACATCCATTGCAGTTAGTGATGGTGGAGTCAGTGACTAATAAAAATGTCACTTCCTGTGATTTTTATAAATTACAGTAAATATGCCGGTAATCACCCACATTAGCTGCTGAAATGCAGGCAGCCATCTGGAGTAGAGGCCAGGGGACCTCATTGAAGCCTCAAGAGGTAAACCCCACAGGTGCAAATTGACACCTAGGAAAACAGTAGTTAATATGCGCTAGAATCCTGAGAAGGGGGAAGTGTTCAAGTAAATGTATGTCAAGCAGACAAATTTGGACTCCTCAAGAGGATCTGTCACATCAAACAGGAAATAGTTATAAATTACTTGTAATGGTAAAAATCTCGTCATTTATAACCTTTAAAGCAACGGGCTCATTTAACAAATCAGCTCATAGATCATAATCTAGGACAGTCAGCCTGAGTATTTATTTCACTCTTAATGTGCAGAAGTCAGGGCAAACCATGCATGATCCACAAAAGACCCCACAGTGTGCCGTCAGCTCTCAGAGAAATAGAATGAGCAAGAGAGATAACCGCCTCAGGCCCAGGGTGATGAATATGTCAAGATATGAAAACCCTTTCCGCTAAAAAGAAAATTAAGACATGATTGGAAATGTCATGCCTTGGGTAGTCTCATAATGAATAATTCCAAATAAATCCCACAATTATTCTGTTTATTTGTTTTACTTAGAAGCTATTTGAAGTCATTGGAGCTGAAAGAACATTTCAACATGCCAAGCGTATTTACCATATCTTGTAATCATCTTGCTAACCAGTTCACAGGCAACAATAATTGGAGTTCTGTGTTTATTTCAGAATCCTCAATATATATTGGCCACCGATAAGAAATCCAGCTCGGAGACACCGTTAAAGAGGCTGAAACGGCTCCATGAAAGTGTTCCAGGAGTACGGCTCAGGCAGATGAACACACAAAGCTCTCTGCATTATTTGAAGATTCAGTTTGAACTAGGTATTTATGACAGAAATGCTTAAAGAAGTGTGCACACACTGAATAAGTATTTGATGTTAATTGGTATGGGGTTGGAGGGTTCTGAAGAGAAGGAGAAGGAGCAAAGAACACAGCCACACACCAAACTAACCAATCACTGTATGTGAGAAAAAGCCCCAAGAGTGGGAATTGAGTATAGAGCTCACATTTACATAGTGTTGGCATCCTAAGCTACAAGAAAGGACAACATTGGGCTCCAGAAAGACGCTAACTCAGAGTTGCACTATATTCGCCTTCCTTTAACCTTCTCCCTGGCATCTCTGCACCTCCTTGTCTTCTCCCCAACCGAACTCAACCAATGCTTAGCTCTGCCAGGAAAAAGAAGTGCCGGGCGGCTGTGACAAGCTACAATGTAGACACCACCCATGAGTGTGGGCACAGGCTTGGACACACACATACATTCACATGTGCAGACACACACACACACACACACACACACACACACACACACACACACAGTACAGTTAGAAGGGCATGGCTATGACAGCAGCCACATTTAGAATCCCAAGGTCTGATGGTTGGTAACTTTTCCCACCTGCTTGCTTTTCCACATTCTGCCAACGTACACTTGTAGTGGGATGAGGCTCTGCCTCTGCCTGAATATATGAACTCAAACTAATTTTCAAAGAAAGCACAGAACTTAATCTTTAAAAGAAGTTAAATTTTAAAAATTAGCTTAAACTGGAAAGCAGTCACTGGTTCCTTGAATTTAACTACTTACTTTGCAATACCTGTTAATCTTTCTTTGGATTTAATCATCCTATATAATAAAGAGCTAATATGCTAATTAGATCAGACAGTAGAATGACCTTCCCACTTTCTGGAACAACCATCCAGGGCCATGAGGCAGCCAGGCTGTGAGGGCCAAGCCCCTTGCACAAATTTCATGCATCAGGCCTCTAGTGTTTTCATAATGATGGCTAGTTTCCATGGATTGATTGATTAGTGGTTGTCTGTGAGGGAAGAGGGTTTAGTGAAAGGTAAAGAGTTTAGATACTTTTCACATGGGTAAAAAATTTTTAATTCAGAAAGAAAAGCTGATTCTGGGAACCAAATTATCCAAATCAATCTCCAGTCTGGAGTATCAAAACCAAACCACACCAAAACAAGTCCATATTATGCAGTACTTTGGCAGACACCAAAAATGTCTGTGTTGCACATTGATTTTTTGAAATCTGTGTTAAGGTAGCCTAGATAATTTCTAGAAATGTTGGCAACCTACAATTTTAGCCTCAATTGCTAGATTATTACTGATGGGGGGAAAATTTTTCTTTTTTTATGAAATGAATGAATAATTATCTCAGTTCTATGCTTTTAAACTATGTATAAGCATACAGTATGTATTGTATGTGTTGACTATAGATTACAGTCATATGATACGTATATGAACATCACTGACTGTACTTACACAAACCTAGATGGTCTAAGTCTACTGTTGTAATTGTATGTGCTAAACTTTTATACAACTGGCAGTGCAGTACGTTTGTTTATACCAGCATCACTGCAAACACATAGTATGCATTAATTAATACAGCTATGAAATCATTAAGCAATAGGACTTTTTCAGCTCCATTATAATTTTAAGAGACCATGATAATTTTAAGTCAAATATGCACTCTGTCATTGATTGAAACATCATCATGCTGTGCATGACTATATCTTACATCTGTTAACTTTAAGCAAAGTTTATTTCTATAGAATAATGGGTAATTTTGAAAATATATTGGGGAAAATGTTACAAATTCATTATTCAATAACACAACTGTGCTGTATTACCTTGGTTCTAAGACAGGCATTTTTAGTTTTATCATCTCTGGAATCTAAATACACCATTATCATTAGTGACAACTTACAATTATAATTGGCAGAGGTCTTTTATAGTGCCAATAATAGCATATTAGGCTTGCTGAGAAAAAAGTGCCTATGTGTGATATAGTCTAGGGCAGTGGTCAGCAAACTCATTAGTCAACAGAGCCAAATATCAACAGTACAACGATTGAAATTTCTTTTGAGAGCCAAATTTTTTAAACTTAAACTTCTTCTAACACCACTTCTTCAAAATAAACTCACCCAGGCCGTGGTATTTTGTGGAAGAGCCACACTCAAGGGGCCAAAGAGCTGCATGTGGCTCACGAGCCGCAGTTTGCTGACCAAAGGTCTAGGGTGAAAAAAATATATATATGCCAAGGATCACCTATTCTTCCCTGATACTTCTTTATGTAGGAATTATAAATTAAATCCCCAAACTTCAGCATTGCTTTTTTTATTCTAAAACGTCTTGTGTTTATAATAAGTGCTTCATACTAGATTGCAGTGTGTATTTGACAGAGGGTTCCTATTGCTTTGTCCATCATCAACTGAAGAGTTACAAATGAAAACTCTATTTGACTCTCAAAGGATGAAGTAAGGAGACCAGTTTTCCAGTTAGTAGCAAAGCTGACGATGAGAAAAAAAAAAAAATCAAAGTTAGTACCAATAAATGGGATTTAGTCAGTATTTTAAATTTCAAGATGAGTATGCAAATGAGCAACAAAGTACTAAGCTACATTTGTGTTTGTTTCCTGGAAACTCGACAAGGCAATTATTGTAATGTAGAAAAATCTCTACCACAGACCCCTCAACCATGACACACAGTATTTCAGCCTGAATTCTTTTTATGTATATCCTCATAGCCAGAAATCTGGGAGAAGATTGTGGGCCAATTTTAAATATTAGGTCAGTTAGAGGTGATATGGGGACAGTAGACAGAAGAGAAATAATATTTTTAAATTTTTAAAAAATTAATAACATTTTCAGACAGGAAAAAAAAAAAGACATATTGGCTCAATGTTCCAACAAACTCCTGCCTCTTACCACAAGCTTGCTGGCTTGTGGGATACCCAGAAACATATGCACACACACATATTTAGCAAATATTTATATTCTTCTTTTTTTTCTGGCCAGGAAATCATTTAACAGCTGAGATTGGTATTGCTTCACTTTCAGCCCTCTGCTCTTTACCTCATCTCATTCTTCCTGGGAGCATTACCTCACCATCCTATATGTACAATTTAAAGGGAATTACCTATTACTTCAATTATTCATCCCTTATCAACTGATGTTACACTACAAGGATTTGCATTGAAAGGACACAAAGAAAGAGCAAGTCATGGCACATAGCCAAATAAAAGAGTAATGTTCTGGTGAATTTAGCTTAAATAATTTACTGCTATATAAAAGTGGAAGAGTGGAAGGTGAACCCTTTGACCAGTAAATCTCTCCTGCCCATGAAACCCTTATCTGGTCCCCTCCAACATATTCCACACGAGGAAGCCATCATCATTGGCTCTGGTTTGTTATTTGTAAACCTTGATCTTCTGCACTCGGTGTCCTAAATATGGATAATTAGCATCAGTTTATCACGCTTCTGCATATTTTCCCTTCTCTCCAAACATGCACGCTTCTATTGGCTGCCATTCTGCCACAGAAGATTATGGAGACAGATTGCAGAGAATGAATGTGCTAAACGAGATTAGGAAGGAATAGAAATAGCAACTTGGCCAATAAATTCCTCGTGAGAGCCTTATCATACAATTACATGTTGATTTGTTTCACACTCTCCCAGCCTCTTAATCCAGTGCCCCCACCATGAAGAAAATTTCACTAATTTCTGAATTACTGCATATCCTCCTGACTTGTTACTGAGAGTAGTTGGAAGGCGAAACACTGCTGAAAACAACGCATCAAACTTTATAATAAAAAATTAAACTTTAAATGTCAAAATGGGTGCTATGAATCTGGGATGTTTAAAGCATTTTAGCATCTATGAATGAATGCACAAAACCCTGGCACAGAGAGATATTTAACATCTCTTTAAGCACCAAATGCTCTCATTCGCCACTTTTGGGAGTCCAGAAATGTACGAAGGGGGGATTACCTTGCTCTTAAACAGAATTCTTTTTTTGTTATTTGTAACTATCTGATGTGTTTGAAAACAGGACAAAGTATTCAATTATTTTTTATTATTATCACTGACAACAGTCATGGTGCCCCTGAGTACTTCCTGGCAATACCACTTGACCTCTTTGAATACAGAGTCTTCCTCACTCAAAACAACTGTTTGAGATGTTATAACTTCTTGTATCAACTAAACTCTTGTCTGCGCCTGGTCACCATAAAACACTGTAATAGGGCGCCCACCGGAGGAGTGCTCCTTTGCCTGTTAATGTTACTCTCCCCAGGGCTTTATAATAAGTCAGGTATTTGAAGAAGCCTATTAAGCCTTCCATCCACCAGGGGACTATTTTTAGCACGGAGCAGCAGTCAGGCATTATGTTGCACCCACAAAAGCAAGGTGCTAGGGCAGGAGAAAGCCCTGCCTTCAGAACGGAGGTGATGTTTACTGGAAGGAATGGAAATTAGATCAAATCTTAAAAAGGATATGTTTGTGCTCTCCGAAGAGCAAAGGCTTCCAACTCACGGTGGGAAGAATTAATTAGCTAAAGGAATTCACGGCAATTGTAAAGAGAGCTTTTATGCATAGATCATGATGTCGCCCTCACTTTCTTTTCTCCAAGTCATGTCTACTAGGAGTCGCAGAAGAGAGAGCCTATAATTTGGAGAAAGGATTCCAAATTTCAGATCTGCTTCCTGGCTCTGTGTTCAGAGAAACAACTGGACAATATTCATTCAACAAGTCTGTACTGGGTGTCTCCCATGTGCCAGGCCCTGTTCTGAAACGGTGGGGTGTACCAACACAAAGAAAGAGCCCCTCCCTGGATGAGCTGACAGTTACAGGATGCTGATATGTCCTGACTAATGTTGCTGAGTGTGAGCTTGCCTTTTGTAAGCTGGCTGACCTATTGGCTCCAAGCGACTTCCTTATCCTGGAATTTCCTTCCTTCCATTTACCTTGACAGGGTGAAAGGGATCAAGGAGCCTGGAAGGAAGCTCAGGGAGGGACTTGTCTGCGGGACCTAGATTCTACATGGGCAAGTGGTGGCTCAGAGAACACTTGTGTTTCTAGAACTGCAGCCAGGAGCACATGCCGCAGGGAGGGGCAGCCACAGTTCCAAATCCTCCTCAAGTCCTACAGTCATCTGTCCGGAAAATAACAAATCATCTTATATGTGTTAGCAGTTCTACATTTCCTGCATCCTCCTCTGCTCCAAAGCCACTGAAATCCAAGGCACCTGTTATTGGGGACACGGGTCATGTTGAATGGGGTGAAGGTAACCTAGAGAAGGGATAGAACTGGTTTATTGTTTGTTCCCTAGAGGAAATGTTTTTGAGGGCTTTCTGGTGCAAATTTGGTGGATTTTTTTAGGTTTGGCTTCATCTGACTCCTCCGAGAAACTAAGGTGCACAACTAGAGATGGGACAGGAAGTCTCCCGACAGGAGTCTTACTGGGTGGACTTGGAAATCAGCTTCCAGAGATGGGAGGGCCTCACGCTGAAAAATGGAAAACAGATGAGGGGTTATTGATAACCGTCCTTCTCTCTTCTGTGTCATATTTCCTAAATTAGTGAGCTACGTTTGGATGGGGGGGGGGGAAACAGTGAGAGGGAGCCGTTTGCCATTAATCTGGGAACAAACGACTAACCTCGGTGACTGGTATTTTCGCCTTTCTTCTCTCACTTTTCTCAGTGTGGGGAAGCGGCGCAGCCCGCGCGGAGCGATTGTGAGGGGCTCTGCTGGAATTTGGCAGCGCGGAGGCTTGGAGAGCAGCCCCATGCTGGCTCCTATTCAGCGGGCCAGTTTTCCTCGAGCTTTGGAAGTTTCACTCAGCCGTGCACTCAATGGCTTCACAAAGCTGATTACAAGCTTCAGCGCATTCCTGAAGGAGCCAAAAGCAACGCAGGTGCAAACGAGCCGAGGGAGCCCCTTATCCCGGTGACAGAATGGGACAAGCTGGGAAAGGCTTGGACCACACAAATCCAAGCTCACCAGGCAGCAGAAAGCCTGCCTTGGGAACCGGGGGTCATTATCCGTCCTATTCAGCGGGGCTCGGGACCCTTAGGGCCCCCGGGGAGGCTGGCCCGCGTGGGAGCGCCAGCGCTCCTCTGTGGGAGTGGAGACCTCGCGGGGCCCTGGCAGCCAGGCTGGGGCGATGGACCGCGGCTTGTGCGTTCGCACCCACCCACAGCGCCGGTGGAATCCGTGCTCCGACGGACCGTGTGAACACTAAAAGGGACACGGGAGACAGGAGTGTGCGGGAGGCAACCCCGTGCGTGGACGGTGCGCAACGTTTGCTCATCCCAGTTCAAGCTGCACCGCCCTGCGCTTCTCCAACCTGAAGCTGCATGTCCGCTTTGGTTCCCCGGAGCCACCGCCAAACACTCTGCTCTGAGAGTCCTTCAGTGTCTTTTCTCCCCCAGCCCGCCTTTCCCCTCCGTCCTCTTGGCAACGGGGCCCCGTGGAGGGCGACCGGGCGCGGTGCATGGGGACCGACAGTGACCACGTGCGGTGATTCGGGCCGGCGGGTGGGTCCCTGGGCCGCGCAGTCGAAGCGCGCGGACTCCATCGCTGCGCATCTCATCCCGCGGCGAGGGGGAGGGCCGGTACACTAAGAAGAGAGAATGAATGACGGCTCCTGCTTGGGCTCAAAGACCGAAACCGGGGGGCTGTGGGGGGCGGAGAGAGGAGGGCAGCGCTGCGGGTAGTGCGCGGGAGGATGGTAGGCGGGGGGTGGAACGGAGCTGGCGCGCGCGGGGGTGGAGGTGGGGGGGTCTCCTGGGGCGTTCAGAGTCCGACCAGCGCGGCCTCGAGTCCCCGCGTGGGGCCGGGCCTGCGTGGGGCCGGGCCTGGGCCTCGCCGGGGCGGGCGCGCTCCCGGCCCCTCGCCCCGCCGGCCGAGCGCTCTGCCCCGCTGCCCCCGGGGGTCCCCGCGGGCAGGGCGCGGGCGGGCTGGGCGCGCACGCCGACACTCTTTTGTCTGATAACTAATTTGAGTTAATGCGATCTTTATGTAAAGCTAACAGCGGATAATTGTCTATTTTCTCGCCAACAATCTCCATCACAATCACTTATATGGAAACCTGCAGCTGGATTAATCGTTATATTTTCCCCGAGATGTGCGTCCCTGTGATTCTCAGGGAACGCGTGTGGGGACCTAGAGACGCCTCCCCCGCGCTGACGGGGTGGGTTGCAGACCTGCCTGGTGATGATTGCTCCCCCCGGACCCGGTGTGTGTCCGGGGTTTGGTGCACGCGTGCAGGGTTGTAGGGAACCCTTTCCAGGACTAGCCTTTGTTCGGGTGGGTGTTGTAGGGGGTGCCGGAGGCGGAGGGGGCGGGAGGAGGACAAGGGTGATGAGGCTGGATGGAAGAAGAAAGGGCCAGGAGGAGGATGAGGAGGGCCGGGCGCAGCCCACGTCTAGCGGGGCCTGAGCAGGCCTTCAGGCTCACGGTGACGCGGCCTCTGCCTCCGGGCCCACCCTGCCAAGTGTCAGAATCAAGTCTTTTGACCTGGGGGAAAGGATGACCTCCCCCCACCCCCACCCCCTTCTGCAGGAAAGGTGCTCCCTTTCCTAAGCTGGGTTCCTCTAGCTCACATGTGTCAAACACAAGGCCCACGGGCCAAATCCGTCCCGCCAGGCCTTGCACTGTGGCCTGCACCGCGCTGTCATCACTGCACTCCGCTGCGTTTCCATCACAATGACAGTTTATGACTGTTCAGTAAACCATTCGGCCCGCGATTTAGGCTGGATTTTAGATTTTGGCCCCTTCTCTGATTGAGTTCGACACCCCTACTCTAGCTCCAAACCCTGCCCCACCCACCCGTTCCCGCCTTAGGCCCCTCCCCCAAGATTCCCATGATTTCGAGGACTCCCAACTCAGCAAATCCTTGGCATTATTTATTCTCCGGGTGATGGAAATCCCCAAGAGAGCAAGCCTGGGTATGGAAACACGTCCCAGTGCCGCAGTCCCCAACGGCGCTCCAGTGTTAGGGGTAAAACAAGAACGATGGCAGATGGAATTGAGGGGGGGGGGGACGGGGGGGGGCGGGAAAGGCACTTGTATGGCAAAGATTGGTGTCTTCCTGAGCTGAAGTCAAAACAGGAGTGTCAGGTAAAAACCCGCGTGGCCGTGGGTGGAGGCCTGCGCCTTCGCGGTGCGCAGTGAGGCGTGAAGCGATGGACTTGCTGCGGCCAAGAATTACGAGTGGCCGGTCACTTGGAACTAAACTATTAGAGTTCATTTACTTCTGCAAACTCGGATTTGCCAGCCAAGGGACCACCACCTCCACCACCACTTTTCAACGTTTCTGAAAAAAAAACCAAACGAAAAAAAAACAGTAAATCCAGGCTCAATTCGTGACAGCTCTTGGCCCCAGAGAAGGGAGCTATTTGTGTCCCCTTTGGCAAGTAGCACTCAAGCTTCCCAAGAGTGAAAGGACACAGCGGCATAAAATGCCACGAAAGGACTGGACTTTTTACATCAAGCAGGACCCCCAGTGACCCCTCCCCCCAAAAAGAGAGGGCATTGTAAATTCCCCTGTTGAAATCTCTCAGCCTTCCATTTTCCCCTCCAGCAAACCCGATGAGGTCTTCCAAAGCAACCGGGCTGCTAAATCCACCCTCGGAAGTCAGCTTGCCCGGGGGGCCCTCGCCGCCTATCCCAGGGCCGCTTGCTTTTTTTTTTTTTTTTTTTTTTCTGTGGCATTCTGGAATCATCCCACTTCGTCTCTCACCTGAACCTTGTCATCTCGGCCATCTTGGAGTGATCTGCGAACAATGCCGGGCCCCGCGCCGGGCCCGCTGGTCAATCAGGCAGAACAGACTATGCAAATGGGTCGGAGAGGCGCAGCGCCGCGAACACTGGCGCCCATTGTCTTGGGGATTTCAAAGCGCGGAGCAGCTGCGCGGGCTCGTCGCCTCGGACCCTCGGTTGCCACACTCATGTCATCATCGCAAAACATCAGATTTTTTGAAAACGACGCGATCCGAATTCATTAGCAGCCTCGGGCAAAAGGTTTCTCTTTCCCCGTGACAAGTTTCAAACTTCAGATCCCCTTCTGCTGAGAGGGCGAAAGGGGCGGGGGTTGGGGGGATGGTGGAGGATTTTGCAAAGTGACAACCGCTATGATGATCCATAATTTCCTCCTCTTTCTGGCGGATTCAGACATTTTAAAAACCCGGTCCTTGTGGGGGGAGGGAGGGGTTCTGAGTTCAGACCCTCTGACCTACAAGCCACGCTGAAATGTTGATGTTTTCGCGTTTAACACAGACACCGCCTTCTGCTTGTATAATAATGCCAGCGAGGTATGTTCAAGGTGTTTTCTTTAGGTTGAATTCAAAACAACCCGTGTTGGAGCAACTGTGCGCCCAAAAGCAAGCAGGTTAGTTAGTTACACAGGAAAGGACCTTCCCCAGCGGCGCCGTGACAGATGCCTGGCCAACTTCGAGTGCCCACCTTGCCCTGCATCTCAGTGATTCTGTCATTGTTCTCCCGATTGCTGAGATTAGGAATCTTCTCCCTCTCCATCGCCTCGCCCACCCCCAGCTGCCAGGATGGTCTCGTTTTTTTTTTGTTTTGTTTTTTTGTTGTTGTTGTTGTTTGTTTTGTTTTTCTTCTAGAAACAAGTAGCAGGAGGGATCTGTTAGGCGCTGGCGGCGGGCGGCCCATGAGGTGGGTGCTAAGGGCCCGGGTGCGGGTGGGGAATGTGTTGGGTTCCAGCGGACCTGCACCTGCGGACACTGGACCCTGTGGCCCCATCCGGTCCGAGACACCCAAGGCCGGGAGGAGCTTTGATTTCCAGTCTTCTGGGCGCCCCAGGGCTCCAGAGTAGGCAGCTTTCCCTTCCTATCCATCTTGTGTGTCCCCCAGGCCCACCCATCTGAGTTAACGAGTTCTTCCTCTGCTTTTTTACAGGATCCCTGTGCTCTGTTCTCTCCCCACCTCATCCGTGGGCCGGAACATTTTTCCAGGAAAAGGTAGTCAACACGGAGAAAGCCACCACGCCAATTTCTAGCCCGGAGATGAAAAAGTAAAGATTGAGGTTGAAGGCGGCAAAGGGCTGGCTGGGTCCTCCCCTTCCAGTCTGGCACGTGACCTCCCTCCCCCGCCCCCTGCCTCTCAAGATGCCTGCAGGCCCCTCAACAAACTGGAGTAGGATTTGGGAGAAGAGTGCAACCGAATAATGTTTTTGTAGAGACATCCAGGAGAACAGAGACATCCTTGGATAAAAGGCCCCATTGGCTGTGTCTTGCTTAGTTGGGGGTGAGGGAAAGCTCTTTGTAGATAGGACACCTTTGGAGGAAGTGAACTAGCACAGTCCCTGGAAATGTGTATAATTTGGACCCCAAAGCTCCAGGGAGTCACAGGTCATGCCCTGTGGTTGCTCTTGGAAGTCTGTGTGTCTACTACCCTCCAGGCTGGGCCTGGGCCCAGAGCCCCTCCAGGTGTCCTTGCTCTGCCTGCCCACTTCCTGCTCAGGCAAAGCCACCCACGGCTGGTGCGGGGCTGAAGGCAGAGGCGAGCTTTCTGGAGGTCCTGACTATGGGGAGGCGCGAAGGATGATGTGAGTTTCAGGGAGATGGTGTTTTGCCGGGTTGGTTCATCTGTTTCCCAAAGTGTGGTACGCGTACCCCCAGGGTACAGGAAGAGTTTGGTGGGGGTACGTGTTGCACCGGAGTTCGGTGGGGATATGCACTGCACCGTGCTTAGCTGCGCCTAATACATCCATTTTTTTTTTTGACGAGGGTTATTCAGCACTATGAAAATTATAGAAGGGGTACACATATGTCAAAAGTTTGGGAAACACTGCTCTAGGGTATGGACACTGCCTACTGCATTGTGCGTTTTCAAAATGTGCTGAAGCACTGAAGAGAGTGGGGCTGGTGGCTGTGGAAAGTCTTAATGGCCAAGGTGGACCTTCCTTGCAGAGGTCGCTCAGGGGGCCCACTCAGGTTGGGCCAGGGCTCTGGTGGATAACAGGATCTGGTGAGTCCACTCTTGCCCTTGCCTCTCTCTCTTCTCACACATTCATTCTCACACATGCCACACATTCTTATGCACTCATACACCCACAAAACACAGGCACTATACACTCATACATAAAAATTCCTGGGATCTCACACACAGAGCCACACAAGTTCACTCTCACACATCACACACACACACACACACACACACACTCACACAATCACTCCTCTGGGGTTCTGAACTCACTAGCTGACTGAGTACTGGGGTTGGCTTATGCATGAGCATCTGCATAAGCATCCTCATGGGAAGAGAAATCAAAAGGCTGGGAAGAATACTCTGTTAGGTACACACAGGGATGTGTGCACAAATCCTTACAGGAATTCAACAAATACAGCAAAAAAGTGATATTGAAGGATAAGGGCAGTTTATCTCCGAACCTTATCTTCTGAGCTCTCAAAGAGTGAGCTTGCCAGTGGATGGAATTATCACATTGAATCCAACACTTCCAGGTTCCTACTTTCTCCCAGGATAGTTTCCTTGGCTGCCCACTGAGACTTCTGTTATCCACTGTGGCAGCCACTAGCCATGTGGGGCTGCTGAGCATCTACAGTCCAGCCAGTCAGAATGGAGAAGTGTGCATGAGTGTATACAACACACACCACATTTCAAAGATGCCATGTGCAAGAAAGCATGTAAAATACCCGATTCATCATTTTTAAAATATTGATGTCAGGTTGAAAGGATTGCAGTTTTGATATATTGGCTACAATAAAATAGATTCTTGAAATGAATTTCACTTGCTCCTTTTTGTGTTTTAAAACTGCATCTATTGGGAATTTAAAGTGACTATGTGGCCCACGGATCCTCCAGGAAATGAAAGAGGAAAAGCAAAAATGTAGAAAATGCTGAGTTTGTGTTTTAGCAGGAGGGGATACAGACCCGGCCTGGGTTAAAGTTGCTTTTATAACATACTATATTATCAAAGCTTCCTTTCTTTCTTGAGAATGCATGGTGGTGGGTGGAGGGCATCCCACATTGTACTTTATTACTTGATTCATTTTCTTTTCATTTTAACTTTAATTTCATCTAATTACTGTATTGTGATCTCAGTCAGCAATCTTAAATGAACTCTCAAGTAACTTTTGAAGAATCTTGCTACAACTGTTGGATAATGATGAGATGTAAATTACTACAGGTTATTGTGTAATGTCTACCCAGGGCTGGAGCAAACCCTTTCCTGTTATTTTCAAAGTTCAGGTCAGCATTTTGGTAATTTTCTGCTTTATTTTTTTCTCCTACAAGGTTAGCAACATTGCTCACCACCATCACTACAACTCTAAACAAAACAAAACAAAAAGCTTAAGGAAGAATTTATGTCCTGTGAAAATGCTTTCTACTAAGCAAGAATGGAATTTCTTCCATATTTCCCCCTATAATTGATTCATAATTTTAGAAACCTAAGAAGTCATATCTTGATCAAGAAGATTACAATAAAATGTATTTGTAGCCTTTTTGTGTTTAAAAAATATATTTAAAAGTAGTCTACAGTAATATTTTAGAGATAAGATTTTTAGCAGTAAATTATAAAACTTATATTTCATTTTTGATGATAGCAAGAAAGGAAAGATTGCTCTAAGAATATTGTTTTTAATAAACTCAGTATAGCTTACAACATGAAAATTCTGCATGCATATATATTTGACATATATACCTTGAATTTTTATATATGTATGTTGAAGGCTTACATAATTAATGAAAAAATTCAGCAAAAATGTGAGGTGAGTCTGTTTTGCCAATAAATTGGGAGTATCTCAGACATACTTTTGATAAAATTAAAAAATTATTTATGTCATAAAGGAAAATCTGTTGTTCATTACTAGTATGTTCATTTATGGTTCAATTTTTTACTAAATTTAAGGGGAAAAGAAAATATTGTAGAATTAGAGGAATGATCAAGATTTTATGAGTAAGCTAATTCAAAAGTTTTATTCTTTGTAGTAATGTAGAAAATATCACCATTGTGTCGAAACCGGTTTGGCTCAGTGGTAGAGCGTCGGTCTGCGGACTGAAGGGTCCCGGGTTTGATTCCGGTCAAGGGCATGTACATTGGTTGCGGGCGCATCCCCAGTGGGGGGTGTGCAAGAGGCAGCTGGTCGATGTTTCTCTCTCATCGACGTTTCTGTCTCTCTATCTCCCTTCCTCTCTGTAAAAAATCAATAAAATATATTTTTTTTTAAAAAGAAAATATCACCATTGTCATGAGAAGCTTCTGCTCAATTAGTAAAAAAATAATAATAAATATTTTATACTTTAATCAAACTACCTGTTTTTTTAAGAGTTTCCAAGGGATGCTCCGTGTCTGCCCAGGACAAGAGTTTCCAAGGGAATAACAACAAAAAGAAATTAACATATATCCTGCTGAAGAGTCATTTGTATACCGTTAGAAACTCAAGTAATCTCACTTTGGGTGAACAGGATGGCATATTTAATAGCATAACAAGGTTATTTACTTTTGTGATGACTCATGTTGGCTCATATTCAGCTCACTGAGATAACTAAAGGAAAAAACACTGCAAGAATTTAGCCACTTACTGTCAATCTGCTCTTTTACTTTTCAATAATCATCTTGAAGCAAAAGAACAATAACAATAAAGATGGTAAAAAGGCGTAGAGAAGAGGAAACCCAACACATAGCACCCAGACTAGCAGTATGTAAATGCTACATGCCAGCCATGTTCCCAGTTAAGTTATTCTTGGGTATATTTAATATATAGCCTCATTGGCTTTATCATGTTGTAAAATTAGAGAGATACTCATTGGCTTTCTGTTTTTCTTTCTTTTTTTTCTTTTTTTTCTTTTTTTTCCTGAAAGACTATAATGGTCACACACTTTCAAATATTCACAGACCAGATATTCTGGATAAATAATCTAAGATTAACTAAATTAGGTTAATGTTCATACTGGGCCAGTGAGATATTTCCCTTGTGGTGACATTATCTGGTGTCAGCTACATTGATTGAAAAAGCACTATAGACCAAAAAAAAAGTGTTATTGCAAGATTTCTCAAAAACAGATAAGAAAGCAAAGAAGCCCTCTGGTAAATGAGGAATCTTATCTAGATTTTAATATGTCTGTAAGCAAATTTGTAAATGTTTTTGCAAGATAGACCACTTTATGGGAAAGCAGATGTTTCTAAAGTTTCTAGAATTCTAAGCCAGTCACTATAGTTTCTTTATCCATCCATTGATGGTGGGGGTCTTTTTGCTTTTCCTCAAGATACATTTCAGAGAATGGCTGAAATAGCATCAAATTCAGAGCACAATGTCTGGACTGTTTGACGCATTCTAGGATGGATAGATTCCCAACAGCCCAATGCTTGGATACTATCATTTGAGGGCACCTTCCTGCTTATCCATATACGGTTTCTATATAACTTTATGATTGTTTCTTTCTTCCTGAAAACTGCTATTAATACTGATGAAATTCCTTATAACAGGACCAAAACATCAGGGGTTCAAAAAGATGGTACTTGAGACATTTATATATTTGCTGAAGTCAGCATAATTTGGTTTGCTTTCATTAGCTAGCCTCTCGCCTTTTCACAGGTGAGCAAGTAAATGTTCAATTTGTCTATCCTTTTGATCATCATCTCTTATCAATGTTCACTGAATTGTTTTTTCATTACCATTGTTATCTACTTACTAGTGGCCCAGTGAACGAAGCTTGTCCAAGGGGGTGGGGGGGGGGGTGTCTCTTAGCCCGACCTGCACCCTCTCCAATCTGGGACCCCCTCAGGAGTTGTCCGACTGCTGGCCTAGATCGGGCCTAAACCTGCAGTCGGATATTCCTCTCACAATCTGGGACTGCTGGCTCCTAACCACTTACTTGCCTGCCTGATCCCCTTAACCACTCTGCCTGCTGGCCTGATCACCCCCAACTACCCCCCTTCCAACCTGCTCATCCCAATGCCCTCACCCGACCAGCCTGATAACCCCCAACTGGCGCCCCCACCAGCCTGATCACCCCCAACTGCCCTCCTCTCCTGGCCTGATAGCCTCTAACAGCCTCTGCCTCAGCCCACCA